TGCTGGGATCATGGGTGTGAGTGCTACACCTGCCCTGGGGCGGGTAGCCCGCATACAGTATAAGGGAGAGAACAAGGCTTGCTGTTCCTCCCCTTTTGCTCTTGTTGTTTCTGCTGTTTTCCACCACCATGAACTGTTGCCTTCTGCCATGTGCCACCCTGACTTGGAGCCAGCCGAGTATGGGCTGAAACCTCCACAGACTGTGAGCAAAATAAACCTCTGCTTCCTTAAGTTTGGGCATTGGGTATTTAGTCTCAGCAATGAGAGAAAAGTAACCAAGACAGGAATAAATAGAAAGTATATGTAGAAGTTAAAATATAAACTCTAACTATGAATTAGATCATCATATTTAAGCCATACTTTAATGAAATGCAGTCATCAAGATAATTCTACCCATCCAATATTAAGAAAAGATATTTAAGAGATCATTTCAATATTGGATGTACGTATGCTTTTATTAGTTTTTTTAGATGGAAAAATAATTTCAACATCCTTCTGAATTTTTCTCAAGCTGGAAGTCACCTTTTGTTCTGTGATTTATATCCCCTTCCATTCTCTTGGAGTTACAAGTTGCTTCCTGGTGTGGCAAGTTGCTAGTTGTATTCCAAAATATATTTTCAAATAGATTTTTCCCCCATAATTTTAATTACAATGACTTACTCAGTATTTCCCTCAAATGTCTTAGTCTCCATGTGTTTGATTGCTATGTTCTGTTAATCAAAAATTTACATTACAATCCCTTCCCATATATAAACCCTGACAAACTCACCTCAACTATTTTCTTCTAGTCAACATCCTCAGTACTCATTATTAGAACTAATTATCTTTTATTCATACTCTGAGACCTCACTGTCTATACTGTCAATAATAGTGCTGACATTCTTTCTTTAGTGCTTACTGATTCTCAAGATTTCATGAAGAGCACATTTTATAAATTTTCTCAATTTACCTTAATAACAGTATGACTGAGGTTAGTACTAATATATAAATACCCCTTTGTTTTGTTTAGTTTTCTCTCAAAGCTATACTAAGACAGAACTTCCAAATAATTTATAGCTATTATACACTAGAACCCACATCTGGCTATAGGCTAAAACTAAACCCTTACTCTTACTGGTGCACTACATCCTCACATTTCTTGCATTTTCTACTATAAACGTTAATAACTCAGCAGCCTTCCTCAGCAGACTTCAAACTTCTAGAACCTTCACGGATCTGAGCATATACTGCTTAGTGGTTTTACAAAATAAATATTTTTAAGTACTAACAATATATATTTATAAAAGATTTATTTCAATTTTATTCTAGAATAAACATTTTTAGAAGCATTAATTCTGTATGTTTAAAGAGGCAGAAAAAATGTGGGAATTCCATAACATAATCTTTTAAATTGCTGAAATATCATCCATGTGTGTGTCTTGTGATGCCAAGTGAAGTCATCTTAGAATTTTCTTCTTTAATGCTCAAGGTCCTGTGTTTGAACCCCAGCACCACCACCACCACCACAAAATAACTTCCTTCTGTATACAAAGCCCTTCAACATTAGAGGAAGAATAGTGTTTTTCTGAACAAACATTATAGCTGTTGATAAGCACTTCTGATCTTATTTTTTGGCCAGCTAAGTGCTCAGTAGATATTTACATTTATATTTCAGTTGAATTTTTATATGCTGATGATTTATAAAACAACAAGTAGCTAACTTACTTCCTTTTGCCATTTACTGCCAATATCTTAGGGCAAAGAGTTTTATATCTTTTTCCCCCTAAATTATCAGTACATTAAATCTGTGATACTCCATAAGTAATAAAATAAATGCAGTGTTGTACCTCTGCTTACCAAGCTGCCTGTGACTAATATCTAATATGAGGAAATAAATGATTTGGTTGAATGGTATTTCAAATTAAATAAACACAAAAAAATCTGACATATCATAAGAAAAAAATAATTTGCTGCTTAATATTTGGCCATATAAAAATATATTTGTGTTACAAAATACCCTCTTGCAAAGCTTATATTTTACAATAAAGAATATGTTGAAATCTGTTTTAGAAATACCTATGAGAAAAAATTGTAAGAAAGAATATAAATATTCTTTATAAATATAATACAAATATAGTGATAGCATTTTACTTACTGAAAAGTTAATCTTTTTTTACTATTTTTACTTTTTTACTGAAGTAGGTACAATTATCTAAAAATAATCCACTAAATGAGAAGCATATTTTTCAGCATATTTCTTTTTTGACCTTTACCAACAAAAATAACACAGTTGTGAGTAATCTCTTGTCTTACTTAAAATCAGTACCTATCTTGTACTTGTGGGGAATCTGATTATGAAATTGTATTAATTGAAATGTGTAATCGCTGCTTTCTTGAGATTTAGTGTAATTTGTAATAAAATAAAAACTACAGCTGTAACTCAGTCTTATCCACACTTTCAACATCTCTCTTCTCCAAATCCATCTGTCCTTAATACTCTGATTTTCCTGGAAATGAACCAGAACCAGAAATGTTGCATAATTTTCAGGGTTTTGGCATAAATTTTTCATGAGACTATTTTACACATATGAGTTCGATGATATTATAATCCATAGTTTATACATTTAACTTTAACTCTATTTTCTCATGTTCTACTGGCGACATATAAATGCATTTTCTGTGTTGTTTCAGGAATCATATCTTGAGGTCAATGCTTTATCGGTGAATGCTCTAAGGGTCCACACCTGAGAGGGCAGGTGAAGGCAGATTGGAAGAAGAAATTAAATTGTAGACTCTGCACAGGGTCAGCCAGTGTCACAGCAAGATCTGAAAGTGAAGTGACTTTGCAGTTCTTCTGAGCTGCAAGAGGTCTAGGCCTGGTTCATCACAGCAACCTTCAAGAGGCCTTCTTTTTGTTTATAAAGTACAAACCTCTGGCAGAATAGGAGCCAATATGCTATTCTTTAAAATGTTGGGATGATCTACCTATCTTCAGAGTGCACTGGGGCAGAAGACACTGGAAAGAATGTAGCCTTGGATGAAGACTGCAAAGTTATACTACTGCTTCCTTCCAGTGAAGATAAACTGATCCCAACCCTTCTTTCTGATAGCAATAGAATTGAATGCAATCATTAGGTCAGTCGTCACATACCTCACACCTATAGCCATCTTAATACTCTGCCACTGGAGAAGCTATTTTGTTCAAGTTTGTGGTCGCTTATTCTAAGTCTTCAGAATCTGTGCTCCTTTTTAAGTCTAGTCTGATGAAATAAATGAAGGTATAATAATATACAGCAGTATTTTTACATTCTATAGCCACCACCAACCCTCCCCCAGTGCTCAAACCTAGGGTCAAGCTCTGCACTTTGAGCTACTTCCTTAGTCTTCTAGATTTTAAGGGATCATAATATTTTCTTTCCCCAGCCATACACACTGAGGATGAGATACTCTTTCAATTTATTATCACGACTGTAAAGTATGAGCATTTCATTATTTTCATTATTATAAATATTAGCTGCCCCCCAAAATAGTTCTCTAATTTCTTTGCTCTTACAATTAGCATTCCCCCTTTCTCCCTGAACACCTGATATGTTTTACTCCTTAGTAAATTTTCTTTCATCAGTCTATAGTTACAGTTCACTACAGGTAAAACTTTAAATGCCTGCAATGCTAATTTTTTAAGTCTTTTCCCAAGTCAGTCAATCAGATTTCGGAGGGAAGAAGAGGAAGTTGACAAAACCCATCAGCTTGAAATAGACAGCTGAAATGCCATCCGACTGTATTCAAAGGTAGTGTTACAATTAACCACCTTATTGATTCATTCATGCACTTCCTTAAGTAGAATTCCTCCTGACTCCTCTCACTTTAAGAAATCAAATTATATTGTATCTACTCACCACTGAGAAATTATAGATACCTGTTTCATGTTTTAAAAGATGGTTTGAAATCAAATAGTAGGGGCTGGGGATTTAGCTCAACGGCAAAGCGCCTGCCTGGCAAGCACAAGGTCACGAGTTCGGTTCCCGGTACCGGAGAAAAACCAAAAAAAAAAAAAAAAAAAAAAAAAAAAAAAAAAAGAAATCAAATAGTAGCTATTAATCTAAATGAAAATATTTACTTACTAAGATATAAGGCCAGGGCTGTAACTCAGATGCAGGGTGCTCACCCAACACATGCAAGGCGCACGCTGACCATCTCTGGGCAACGTAGGAGAAGAAGAGAAAAAAATTGTGGTAACATAGGTGGGTACATGTACCAACACCTCCGCTTTCACTGTAGGAAGTCAACAGGTCAGGTCAAACCCTAAAGTGTGATATAAGCACATTTTCAAACTATGGAGAAAAAAGTGACAAACATAACTGCAGTATCTGAATGATACTACTGCAAAACACAGGGAAGTGGGAGTGCTGGGAGAGCTACAGATGCTCATTAAACGTTCAATGTAATTCTTTTTAAAGGATGACGTTACCCAATAAAAGTAAAAATATAAAATGAAGCTAGTAGAAATCTATAAAATAAGATTTTAATGGCCCTCATAACTTTGCAATATTGTAATTAAGCTTCAAATAGAAAATGTACCAAATAATTCAACACCTAGGTTAACAATATCTGCACCAAAAAATTAAACAACACTTAAGCCAAAATCAGTCAAATATTTTAATTACTGTTACAAAGCCAAAAAGCAAAATTTGGGCACCAAAATTATATGGCAGAACTATGTAGTGAGTTATAAATGTGAGAATTGCCCTTTCCATCAGCTTCCAACTCTATCATTATTTGGAAATGTGCTCTTAATTTTACTCCCCTTTAAAGGCCAGTGTTAAATTCTTTATCAATTTAACCAAATTACTATAGGAAAGATATGATTCACATCTCTAAAATTATGAAGTTGATTTTTTCTTTCTTCCGGTACCAGGAATCAAACTCACAACCTTGCACTTGCCAGGCAGGCGCTTTGCCACTGAGCTAAATCCCCAGCCCATAAAGTCAAGTTTGAAAATGGAAGAAACTCCCCAGGTCAGTTATTTTTTAAAGCTTTTATTTAGAAAGCTCAGGGAAACAGGAAGGTATCACAGTTTAGAAATATTTTAATCTCACTATAATTTAACATTGTAAAAAATCAACAATGAAATTTATAAAAATAGTTTTATATATATAAAATGCAGCTATTCATAATAAATTATTCATTTCCATTACCTGAACAAATCATGTATGATATAAAAGCAACAACTTTCCTTATCAGTATTTTGAAAATATGCTAAAAACATCAGCTCCACATTATCCAGCTTTGTCGGCAGTCCAGTGTATAAAAACATTATAGTACAAATTCCCTGACCGTAGCTATAAAACATAATCTTTAATAATAATTTCTATTAAAATATTTGTTTAGTAAATATCTGTGGATAAATTATAAGGCTCATGGCAAAGAAATTTTGTTTTCACACTTTAACAGCATTTGGTACGGTCTACGCTCTCCAAAATTCATACGTTGAAACCAGTGTAATGACACTGGGAGATGACGAGGCTGGGAAGAGATTTAGGTCGCGAGGGTCACACAGCGGTGCGTGAGATTAGCGCTCTTAAGCGAGGTCCCACAGAGCCGCCAGCTGCTTCCTCTGGTGCGGGCACTGCTAGAAAGCACTACGAACCAAAGCCTGAATCTGCCGATGCCTTGACCTTGAGCATCCCGATGCTGAGAACTGTGGGAAATACACTTTTTATTTATAAACTTCACAGTTAATAGTATTCTGTTACAGCAGCCTGAATGGAGTAAATATTTTTAAATATCTTTTCAGAAAGCAATCTCAAAAAGTGAACAGAACCTACAGAAGATACTTGAATTTATAAAAATCAGAAACATTCCTATTCATGTAATAGACACTGGAATAAATTTTCAAAAAAAGAACAGTTAAGAAACTTTCTCTCACTGATCTCCCCCACTCCACTCTCTCCCTTCTCTATCTCCTTTCCTCTGCCCTCCCTTACTCAATGATATATTTTATAGCACCACAAGGATACTGACTCTTAAAGCAATATTACTTGTTTTATTCAATTGCCCATAGTTCTTGCATAAATCACTATTCCACTCAGAGCCAATAAATTAGTTAATATTAATATAAATTTGTATTTGTAGGGTAAGTGGAAATTATGAAATCGTAATCCTAGAGATTTCAAAGAGCCCTGAGAAAAATACATTTATTTCTACGTATTACAGCTTGGAATATCTTCTTTTATTAATGTCATTGATAATACTCCAGCAATTTTCAATTTTCCCTGTTACGGCAAGCGGAGACGGGGGGAGGAGAGAGGCTTTTTCCATGATGCTGCCCAGGATGAACTGTTTCAAAATAAACTCCACCCTTAGGTACCAAGCAGGTTAGAGCCGCCATAAATGGTGTTCAGTCTAGAATGAGACATTCACCATATTTGTAGGTGGTTGCATTTCTGAATTTGTCTTTCTTTTCATCTAAATTTATCTGGTGTCATTTTTATTTCTAAAATAATTTAGGGAGAAAACTCTTAAAAACACAAAAATGTTTTCTTACACTATGACAATTTCAAATACGCCACTTACATGTAATTCATAATACAAATAACATGATGGGTAGTACTCAATCATTACTAGGTTGCATATATTTAAAATCCACACTGTAAGCAAGAAATGCGAATGTTTCTTTCCACTCACCAAATATATAGTCTCATTAAAGTCGGCCAGAGCTGGAATTGCCTGTGGCTTACTCTTTCGCATGTAAACTTTGTTGTGCTCTTTAAACTCTCAGATTGAAGGTTTCTTTTACGTATGAAGAGAAACAGCAATCCTCCCTCACTGAATTGCTGTGAGGGTTAAATGAGTACACAGGAGTCCGATGGCTAATTTGTCCCCCAGTACTGGCTGTCCCAGGGCTGCACAGTTTCCCCTGGCACAGGCTTCCCCCTAAAAGGTTACCCGTCAGCCTCCCTGAGAGCTCACTGTGGGAGTGTGTGAATCTCTTCTTGGTGGATGACTTTCCAGATTGTTTCAAGACAGGGAATTAAACATCTCTTTCGGTTGACCCATGTTTTAGGGTTTTCTTGGTTGCAGTTTAGTTTGTATCCTAGCCAGTAAAATAAATATGTTTTATTTTAGCATACACCTTCAAATATAGTTAGACATGAAAGAATATTCAGTCATTCTGAGAATGGCTTCACAGAATACCCATAAATGATTCTTCTTTTAGGAAAAAGAAAAAGCGTTCTATTCTATAGCCGCTGCTTTACCTTTCCAATCTTCAAGACTGTAATTTATGAAAAAATAAAACTTGGTTCATTTTATGGTAAACTGGCATTTCTGATCTACTACTCTTAGGCAAAGGGAACATTCAATTCCTCGTCACATCACAATACAGCAATTATTTACAGATTTAAATTAATATTATGAAAGTAGTACAAAAGATTCAACAGGCTCGAGCTCAGTGCAGGGGCAACTAAAAACAATACACTGTATAAACAATTTCAGACTCAAATATACATTGGTTGCGTGTGAAAGTTTTACACCACAGAAACAAAGAGACAAACGCACAAACAAGAAAACAGGACACCATCTTACAACAGCACCACGGGGGCACCTTGGCTGGGAGTTTGCCGGAAGTACTATCCTGAGACATTTCAAGATCCACCGTGTTTCACATTTAGGCAGTGCCGTTCAGAAACAAGCTCGGGCTCACACTTGCTTCTGTTTGCTAAGGGCCTGGTGCGCAATGACTGAAGCTTGGTTTGCAGCAATTTTGTATTGTTCTTGTCCAGAGCCTTGTGGCGGGGAAGGAAGCGGTGTTTCAGGAGTCGCTGGAAGAGAAGCAGAGAATGTATTCGATGGTAGCAGCCAGTCTGCCCACGTCGGTGAACCGACACAACGCTACTACATGTGACTGTACTCTGGAAATGCTCTTGAAAGAGTTCCCTCTTCCACTCTGCAGCATTAGATCAAACAGAAACTCTGCATACTAACTTTAAAAGTTAAATGCATTTAAAAGTTGGAAGCATTTACGAACATTTAATGCCCTAAGATACCCAGGTGTTAGAGAAAGAATTGACAGAATGTCGCTTTTTTCAATTAGAATACAACCATTATAATGTTTGCAATCAAAATGCACACACACAACATTAAAATATATTTGCCTTGGAGTTCACTAATCCAGATACATTAAATGACACAAGAATTAAAGATAACGTACTTTATAAGTGTTTAGAAATTCAAACTGTAGTCAGAAGCATAAGAAACATACTATCTTTGTTGCTTCACAATTATTCTATCAAAACTGAGCTTGCCTGTCCTTTCTCCTATAATAGAAAGAACAAGCTTGAATAGTTGAACAGAAAATAATTGAATATATAAACATTGTAATTTTAATACTTCATTGTCTAAAATAGTAGTTCTCTCTAATGTGAATTTTTATCATATTATAAAATGATCTAGGATTTATTCTGTAATTTTAAAAAACTTAAAATATTTCACTACTCACATTTGTTAATTTCTATATTTAATAGAATTAATAGAGAATGTCTGATCAGATTGTAGCCCTGGAAACCGTGTAATATTTTTTCACAGTTTTAAAAGCTCTCCACAAAAAACAAGCTCTTTGCGCTTAGTGTTTCTTAACCCTTTAATTTAGTATTTTTGTTACATGTGGATTAAACATTTCTTTGGAATGCCATTTAAATGCCGTTTAATTGACAAAAAATAAGAATTTGCAGTTTAGATTCCTTTTGGATATTTAGAATAGATTAACAATTGTAGTGGTCTTCAAAAGAATGAGAAAATATTCATTTATCCAAATTTTTGTTTAATGAAAAAAAATGTAGACATTTTAACTAAATATTTTAAATGAGGACAAGCAAAAACAAAAGTTTTCCTTTACAGATGATTCTCATAAATATTATGTTCAAAATGGAAAACAAATAAAAAATGCGATAATGTCATTCTCCAAGTATTAGGATCAACAAATATGTTTCTTTAAATACTAGAACATGAGGCTTTAAAATGTGAAGGATTTTGCCAACAGCAGAACTGTCAAATTATCTCGCCCGCTAAGGCCTACAGTGTTTAATGTGCTGTTAAGGCGTTTTAGTTCCCAAGTTTATGAATAACGTTTCTAAGAGACACAATTCCAAGGAACCCTCGGCCTGGCCTTGGACTCTCTTCTCTCTGTTCCTAACTGTCAAATGGAAAGTAACATTACTTTGCAAATAATGTTCCCAAGTGAACGTCCCTCATACACGCTGCGGATCCCAGATAAATTATGTTTACTATGTTATATTCATGATGTTCCATGTTATGTCCAGGATTTATAATTTTTCCCGACAATTTCATATCTTTTCATAGACTCAAAGAATTTTGTGTTGCAGACACAATTTACCCAAGAGTCTACCGCTGCTTGTGTGCAAAGCAGAGTGTAACAATGGGCAGTTCTGTGGGCTCTACTTCTCCCACCACTGGCCATAATCAGATGGCACTCCCAAAATGGGCATTGCATTATATTTGAATAAAACAGCACTGTAACTAGTTATTAGAGACCACTGAAATTTAAAAGATAGTAGAGTATGCATAATAATTATATAACAGTAATTCAAGTCATCTCAGTGATTAGCTGGTTTGGAATTCAGAGGCAATAGGTCAAAGTTAAATCTAGGTGAAGTTTAGAAGCAATTATTCAGTTAATTATAGAAATTTTTAACTACAGTTTTTATCCCCAAAGTAAATTAGAAAAATAGAATTTGCATTAAAGCTGGAATCAGAAATAGTTAACTTAGCTACTAGTAACCACTAATATTTCTACAGTCTTTTGAATTCTAGAGTTTTCAAAACCAGCCCTTATTTCACACACTTCTGATATGCAAGAATTCCAGTGACCACTGCTGACCAAATGGAACCACTCTTGAAACACTTTTCAAATTCCAGTTCCCTTCCTAACTCACAATGAACTGTGACTAACTGCACAAACACGAACTGCCCTCAGTCCGCAAACAGCTTCCTAAATAATAATGGCTTCTGTGATGAGTCACTGGTCAGGTCCCACCTCTAGTCTATCCTTGATGCGTCACTATCTTTTAGTGTAGCACTGTACTCGTTCATTGTCTTCTAGTGATGAATTAATATAAAATTTTACCAAGAAAATAGATCGTTGGAAGAGAATTGGTCAACAAAGGTGAAGCACAGCAGCGTTCCGTGTAAGATGTGACGAGAATTAATAGAAGTAATGCTCACACGGAACGTAAACGCAACCACTGAAGAAGGAGATAAGAATGTGGATATGGATGCTGCTGCTGTTTGAGTCTTTAAAGATGTAACTAGGAACTTAATGAATAAAAACCAAATAAGGAATGTAGCTCAGTGGTGGAACCCTCGCCTAGTGTAGACAAATCCCCAGGACTGAGAGTGATTGAGACAGAGAGAGATAGAGAGAGAGACAGAGAGAGAGACAGAGAGACAGAGAGAGACAGAGAGAGACAGAGAGACAGAGAACAAAAACTCATCCACATAAATCAACAAACTGGATGTGATGCAAATGACAAAGATTTTGGAGAAAGTGATATCAGCAAAATATTCACACAAAACAAATTCCCGGAGCTATTCCAGGACATTGGACTTCCAAAACTAAAATGTTGACCCAAACTGCTGAATGAGTAGACGTCACTCAGGCACAGAAACAGCACGCAGTTCCCAGTAACAGTTATAAAAGCAAGTGTGCGCACTGTCCAAACTACTGCCCAAACTTCTACAAAATATTCCAACATTTTGCTGTTAATGTTTTGCATTATAGTACACTAAATAATAACTATCAGTATTCTTATTGAAATTTTCCTATACATTTACACTCTGTAATGAAGAGCAGTCTTAATTTTTTGACCTTGTTAATGGTCATAAGCAATCATAACTTCTCTGTTGACTTTTAGGATTCCTCTGAGTGGTTTTAGCTCAGATAGACATTTTTGTAGTCGAGCACCACCACACAAAGCTGGAACTCCCTGTATGATCTTTTGTGCTCCCAAGCCTACGGAAAAAAGGAAGTTCTCACATCTTCATTGAAGAAGGCAAGTTCATATTTAGGGAAAAGAGGTGGCTAGGTGAATATTATAATCTCCCACAGCAGCGTTCTGCAGAGGACATCCTACCCAACTTTTGCCATTTCTGGGTAATAATTGATTATTCTCCAAAACTCCACTTTTCTCAAATAGTTAAGTTTAAAACTTATGTAGAAAAGTAGCCCAACTACTTACAGATCTGGTCTGTATGAACCAGCGTTGACATGGGACCTAAAAGTATGGTTTGTCCAGTTAGTGGATCCTGAGATAAATGCGGGTACATTGGATGGTGGAGATGACTCCCGTCATTGGAGGCACCTACAGAAGATCAACGATTCCATTAGGATATTCATAAGGAACAGTGAGTTTACTTGGCACAGATGTTCTGGCTGACACTGTGAACAGTGCTATATTTGCAAAGAGCTTTTTTGAGAATTTAAAAATGGATTGGTAGAAGGACATATTAAGGACAATATCAGCTTTCACTGTACACTGGATAGATTAATTCTGCATCATAATGTTGTATATTAATAACAGACTTTGTGTGCCATTTCCTGGAATCATTAGGCTTCCTGACTGTGTTAAGACAATTCCAAGAATTGCTTACATCAAATTTATTGTATTTGGCATCACCCTAATAGCATGACCAACCTTTATTTCAGAAATATATCATTAAGAACACATTAAGCCCCAGAATACTAAAAATAATACAGTGACTTTACAAAAAATTGAACATATATCAGAACTTAAATGATTCTCTAACTTCTTCCTGACATTTATTACAGCACTGCAATCCCATTTCCCTGTTCTACCACTCTGTGTCAAGTACACACTTGTCTATGTTGCAACTTCTGCAATGCTGAAGTTTTAAAGAAACTAGGCAAATAAACATTATATATTGCAAGAGGCAACAAAAGTGGGAAATACATTTCTGTTTTCTGTCCTTAGAAGACTCTGAAAAGTAAAGTAAAGTAAAGGGGACAGTATGTAGAAAAGATAGTGGAGACTGATAAAGAATGAGGATGTAATTTGTTCAGGTATTTTTGTTCCTCTCCATTGTGTTTTGCAGGTTTTGTAAATGGAATAAGTTGAGTTTACTACGTCATGGCAGAAGACAGTGAAAAGCAGGAACATTCGACGACTTCAAAACATGAAATAAATGTGGACAAAACTAAATACATAGGGCAAACGTGTGTTAACAGACGTACAGCCGTGCTAATCAATAACATGGAAATGCTTCAACACACTCACCGCCCAGCAGCATCTCCTGAAGCAGGTTGTCAATTTTGACCATGCCGAACAGCTTCACAAACTGTATCTGCTCGATCATTTGCCAGGTGATGCTCTGCAGCGTAGGCAGCAGCAGGAGTAGCTCGCCGAACCGCCCCCGCGAGTCGTACTGCCGGTCGTTGATGTAGTCCTCCAGGCCGATCTGCACCTGCAGCCGCATGTTCTTAATCTTCACCGGGTCACTCAGCCCTTTGGCATCTAAGAAGAGTATAAAAAGGTCAGGCTGAAGGTTTCATCTGACTAGAGTACGAGAGAAAATATCCTCATATAAAAAACCAGTTTAATTCTCATGATCGTAGCTTATCAGGGAGATGCTGAAAACAAACCTGGATCAAAAAATACAATTGCCTTCAAACAAGCATACTCATTGTCATCAATCTGGATTTCTTGAAATGGTCTGACCAGCTCATCCAGAACCCTATTGGCCACTCGGCTGATTTCAACTTCACAGCTATTACGGTGAATAACATAGTTGTTTCCTAAAAGAAAGACAAAATAAAACAAAAAAATTCAGCCACTTCATCTGCCAAGTTGTCAAATATTGTCTACATTCTACACATTAGTATTTGAAAAGGTCCGCTCTTGAGTGTTAGTATATCTCTCAGCAGCCTTAGGTCAGTGATGAGAAAAAAGAGTAATACTTGTAGAATCAATAATGATGATAATGTCATTACGTTCACTACAACCTCAGTCACTGTGACGCCACAGAATTCCAAAACTAATCGAGAGCTAGTAATTGACAAGGGAGAGTCAAAATATGCTGATTAGCTTTCCTACTTGTCTGTGATCCATTAGTGTTTTATTAGTGAGCACAGTACAGATCCTAAAATATCTTCCTTGTGCACAGGATTGAAACAGCCATTCTTTGGTGCTCTAGGCCTATAAAGGACTAAGAACTTTTTACACGCAGTATAAATAAGCCTAAAAGGATGATTTTTTAAAATTAGCACATATGTTCTCATGAGCTGTCACAGTGGATTGTATATTCCCTGTTCTTATTCCCTGGATAATCATTTTATAGCACCAAATCCGGTACTCAGAAATTCAATGTGGAGCTTGACTATGCAATTCCTTTTTGTTTGTTTGAGATAAGTTCTCACGATGTAGTGCAGGCTGGCCTTGAACTCGCTTATGTAGCCCAGGCTGGGAATTCACAGTGCTCCTCCTGCCTCACCCTCCAGAGTGCTGAAATTACAGATGTGTGCTACCACGCCCGGCATGCAATTCCTCAAGTTCTTCCTAATTTAAAAACTGTCTGTCTATGATATGATAAATAACATGATAGCCTGTAAAACATAACCAAACTACTCTTTTCTGATTTGAAAACAAAAGCAAAATTTCTGAATTCTACCATTCAAGGCAAAGACAACTCTGTTCGTTCAGATCTTGAATCCTCAATGTCAAGAGGTCAAAATTGTGGTCTCAGACAATACCATTATCAGGAAGTGATGGAACTTTTCAAAGGAGGAGCTTCATGGGAAGAAGCCCAGCCCCTGGGGCTGTGCCACTGAGGGGGCGTTAGGATGAACCCTGGCCCCTTCCCACCCTCCCTCTCTCTCCTCACCGTTAGGCGAGCAGTCCTCTGCCTACCCTCCTGCGCCATGGGGTACTGTGTCATGCCCAGCCTAAAGCATCAGGGCCAAGTTCTCTGAAGCCATAAGACAAAATAAACCTTCCCTTCCTTTAAATTAACATCCCAGATACTTTTGCCAGAGTCATGAAAAGTTGATTGACAACACATACTCTTTTTGTCCCCAGCCTTATTGAGGTATTTTGCACAAAAATATGTATCTAATTAAACTGTAAAATATGATGCCTGCACATGCATCAGTGATTACAGCTGGTGAAATGATCACCACAGACAAGCTAATAAACATATGGATCACTGCGCTTTATTCTGAGAATTATTCTTTCTTAGGAAAAGTTAGCTCATCTAACTATTCAAGGTAAAACAATTTAGAATGATACAGCAGAGAATGTGTTTTCTAGGGTGTACCATATTCAGATCCACAGTGAGAACAAGAAGCAGTTGAAGTATTTACTAGAAGTGCAAAAGAAGTATTTCATAGAATTTCAGAGCATCGTCTCTACTGTCACATTACATGGTTTAGACTCCTGACTCTCTCCTTTCCTAACTTACACCCACAGGCACATTTGTGTGCTTCCACTTCTTCACCTGAAAATGGGCAGCTTAGAACACTACTTAGATCAGTGATTAACTGAGAGAGTGTGTGTACACGTGCATACAAACATACACGCACGTGAAGCATTCAAAGCAGAGCATTTATGTCCTAAGGCTTCCATAGGTAGCAGCTATTGTTATAATGTGCTGCACTCATTCATATTTGAAGGCAAAATATCTATCACACAAAAATATAAAATCAAAAATTCAGCCATCAGTTTGCAGAAGCCAGAAAGAGCTAAAACTAACAGCATTAAAAGAATCTCAACCCTCAAACCCTAACTTTATGAGTCAAGTACAGTTGGGAGTGGAATAACTATTTAGTGACTAGCAAAGCTTTGTTTCTGAGTCTTTGCTCTTCTCCAGATACCTCCCTACTTTTTAAAGCACTTGTATCTATCAGGATTCCTCAGACATTGCCCACTGAGTACTTTACAGCATGTCACAATGAAACTATAGAGAATAAACATGTTCCTTAAAAACTACAAAATAATTATTACACAGTCCCGAAAGGAGTGTAGAAACATGTTTAGACTCTAGACGTGGTCACTTAAATCACTAATTCCTCATCCTGGTAAGACTGAAGCTACCTCAACGTGTTTACTGAACAACATCCGCTTTCATTTTTAAAACCTGATGCTCCCCAATCACCTCATGTGCTGTGAATTTATTTGCAGTCAAGGTAAGGAAAACGAGGGCTGCGTGAGAACAGATTCAATTATATCAGATCTGTGAAGCAACAGCACTGTAAGCGCCTGGTCCATACACAATATAATTTGTAGTTTATTTTAAGGATAAAATATACATAACTTCATCTTAAATTAAGAAAAAAACCTTACCCAAAAGCAAAATATCTTTGTACATCATGGATCTCTTTGTAGCTCCAAGCAGTAAATGCTCCCCTGCGTGAGCTCTTAACAGGGCCACCTTAATGAAAAATTCCAAGTTTTACAATTAATTATAAAATGTAGTGATTAAAAGACAGCATAATATGACTCTGATTAACCTGCAGTATTCTTTAAGCCTGGGACATTTTTGTTATTTTGCTGTTGTTGTTCTAGCAAACTGATATTCATAGACACTTGATGTAATAAGCCTTCTAGCTTTCTATTTTAATTTGCCAATAATTTACTTATCAAATTTTCTAAAAGTATCTAGCAAGTCAGTAGAGAGGGAGCAGAAAGAAAGTACAGCAGCTAAATATTTTGGAGGAAAACAGCATCAAGCAGACTAGACTTCAAATCCCAGGCTGGCCGCTTGCTACGCATTTAATTCCTCATCCTGCTAAGACTGAAGCTACCTCAACGTGTTTACTGAACAACATCCGCTTTCATTTTTAAAACCTGGTGCTCCCCGATCACCTCATATGCTTGACGTAATAAGCCTTCTAGCTTTCTATTTTAATTTAATATCTATGAATTTAATATCTATTTTAATTTAATATCTATGACATTAAAATTTCTATTTTAATATCTATGAATATCAGTTTGCTGGTTAAACTGACCAATACATTTGAGACTCATTTGTTCTCAATGTAAAATTGAGGCAGTGATTTAAAAAATATCCAAGAGTACTCATGTGGACTACATAAAATAAACCGAATTATAAAAACAGAAGAGCAAGGACTTGTAGAGAGAAAAAGATGGAGGTCTGGGTCCCGCCACTTTCCAGACTGAGCCTCTGACTGCACTAAAGTCTTTCACTGATCTTCACTGAGACACCTGGCTGCAATATGAACATCACCACTAGGTGAAACAGGAAGTATTTCTAAACCAAATGATGCCACAGTAATTCTCTGAGGTCTTCATCGCCTTAGAAAGTGGTACCATCATCCAAAGTGCTTGGTGACATTCAAACAGGGGTCTATTCTGACACTAAGTAGTTTGGAAATCCTAGTACTGCTTTTCAAAAACTAAGCAAAATCAATCCACTGCTATTCGTTTCCTTTCTATTCTGCCTGCTGACTCCAGGCCAGACCTTGCTCAGTTTCCAGCTGGGCAACCCGGGTACATTCAGGCACATATTTCTGCTTCCTGAGGGCTCCATTCTAACACATTCTTGTCAGATCTTTGAAGGTGCTATTTGCAAACAGTCATCATTTCATATCACCCCTCTGCTGCAAACTCATCAGTGGCTTTTTATTTTCCTTAGAGGAAAGGAACGTTTCCTACCCAAACTCTTCAGTCACAGCCTCACAGGTGGTAGGAGAAGTTGAGTAGTTCAACTCCTTGTCCTACCCCCCACCCCCATGCCTCTGGCGTTATCTAGCAACACTCCTTGTTCTCTTTGCTCCCGCCTGACTCAGAACCTCGAATGTGCTGCGCCTGCACCCAGAAGGCTTTCTCTTCTACTCTTGGAGGGCTGGCCCCCTGTCATTCAGGTCTCAGCAAAATCTTCTCGCATTCTCACGACAAAGTATCTTTATGTCACTCCTCAACTCATTCTACAACTCATCCTCCTCCGTATCATAGTATTTTATAGAACTTCTCCCCACCTAGATTGGACTTACTCATAATTTACATATTTTTATTGTCTGTCTCTCCCACATAGAACACCAGCTTTATGAGATAGTGAAGCAATCTGTATTTTTACTGCAGAATATACACAGTTCCTAGAACTGAACAGTAGCCACCTAATAAATGTTCATTTGATGAATTTATGGAATGAATTTAACTGAATATAGCTCAGTTTTAGAAACTCTAAAATGGAAATAACACCTACACCATAGAGCTCCTGAGAATTTAAACAAAGCAATGCAATTGACAATGCATCTGAAATCTAATTTCCCAGTGCCTTAGCTGGAGTAAATATGTGCTACTTCCTGGCTATTAATATCATACTTTTAGTATTAAGGATCAGTTAGCAAGTAAAAACTTTTTTTTGATTAGTCGTTGGATTTCAGTTTCCTAATATTTAAAACATCTTGACACATAAGTCACCAACTTTTAAGGAAGAATGATAATAAAAATATAAAACTGATAAATAACACAACCCTACTTATATTGCTTGGATTGAGACTGCTGGCTTTTAGCAATTTAGCATTATTCACTGTGGCATAACCTTCTGGGCCAAGCTATCTTTATGACATGTCAATAACTGTGAGTCAGTCCAGGAAGGCAGTTACAGAACATTTTAAAAATGGTTTCAGATTCACAGATTTCTTCCCCTGTCACCAGGTGAAATGTTTTCTTAGAAATGTCACTGTTAACATTGCACAATGATTTTTCCTGGTTGTACAAATATTTTTCCCTTCTTTGATTTTTACATACTCATGCCCTTTCCTTTCCTCTTTGATCATTTCTTTGTTCTTGTGTACCACCGAGAGAGAGCACTGATCTGAGAGTATATAAATATACGCTGAGTGTAATTTTTATCTTGGCTTATTCTTTCAATAGGAGAGAAATGGAAAAATTCAAATTATTCTCATTTACACAAGTTTTATACTACTTAGTAAAAATAATTCAAATGAATCTGAAATAAATAACCTAAGCTTCACAGATGAATTAGAAAACTCAATTTCCCAATTCTTAATCAAAATATGTTAATATACACAAAAAATAAAAAAAAAATGTATTAGGAAAAGATGAGTGTATCTAAATTTTATTTCTCTGTAGAATTCTGGTCATGATTCTATAGGCGTTTTTGCCAGATCCATATTTTTCATATAATAAATGTCAGAATAAAAGTGATAGCATGGCAGGCAAAAGTTATGTTAGTTCTATCAAGTGCCTCCAGTGACACCAACATGCCCTGATTGGTTTTCGTGGGAGAGTACCCAGGTATTTCTGAAGAATCCTACAGGGCATCCTATGGGAGACCCTAGACACCACAGCAGAGCATTTACTTCCCAGACATTTACTCTTCCAATACCTCGTCTCATGATGGTAGCTATTTGCAACCTGTCTTCTCCCTCACACAAGCCTCTCTATCTCTACTCGAAGAACAATGTCTTGATCAACTCTTATCTAATCAATAAGTTTGCTACAGCCCTGATATACCAGTTGGGCAGCAGTGCCTCTGGACAGAACAAGAAGGCAGAGTGATAAGAAACCTTAATCCTTTCTCACAAGATAATGCATTCCTTGACTGATAAAGTACAGGTATTACAAGGAGGATTCAAAGAACACAAAAACCTAGCAAAGTTCAGAAAACACTTTTAAAGCAGTCATCATCTGCTTAACTTATACCTGGTCATCCAGAGGTAAGTCACAGAAGGGAGGAATATATTTGGCCCATTCCACCAAGACTAAGAGCTGCTGCTTCATAGATTCGCAGACGTCGCCAATACTTGCGATTTTCTTAATGTTTATGTCAGTGCTTGCCGCAGGACTTGAGACTGAGATCTAGTAAAAGAACATCATATTCAGTCATTCCTTAAAATAACACATGACCAATGTTCTCTGTCTTCTGTACGACTGAGTTAAGTAACCCTACTGAAGCAGACACTGCTATTGCACAATTATCTCAAAATGCATTACAGTTTTTCATTTCGTGTAGTTTTTGTTTTCGTTTTGCAGTCTGGGGATTGAACCCAGAATCTCATACCTGCTAGGCAAGTGTTCTACTTCTGAAATAGACTCCCAGGCCCATACTAGACATTTTTAATTTGGGAAATAAAATACATACCAGTTTATAAGACATTCAGTACATAGCACCATGATCCAGAAGCTGTCTTATTTTAAAAGTCAAATGTATAAAGAAGTTACCACAACTTTTGGGGAGATTTATAATTCACAATGGCTACACAGAAAGATAACTAGTATGCACATGAAATGTGCTTTGTGATCTTATCCTTAACTAGAAAATTATATTTACACACAGGTTATACAATGACACACTCGTGAAATCCCAGCAACGGAAGATGCTGAAGCAGGAGAATCAGATTTGTGAGTCTGAGAAGCTTAGTGAGATATAGCTCAGTGTGAGATCCTGAGCTCCATTGCCAGCCCCATTACTGGAAAAAACAACATTTCCATTAAGCAGTCCATCTTCCATCTGTTAATGTTCATGAAGAAAACATTCCTCCAGTGAATACAGTTTACCAAAGCAGGAAGAAAAGATTTACACGGGAAGTCAGATTATTTATGCTATCAAGTTAAAAGGGAGCCCCTCACAATATAATTAAGGAATGAAACCCTGGCTCAGCAATGTGTGAAGACCTGAGCTACACATTTCAAACTGTGCATAATATTGAACTCTAAAAACATAGTGGTAGTTTTAAAAAGTGGTGAAAAAAGTGACAAGTCAACAGTCTCTTTCAAACTGTTTAAAACTCTTTTGTGAGTTTAATTTTTGAACATATCTATCCGCATGTGTGTGTGTCTTTATGTGCACCAAGGTATTTCTTCCTAGATTTCCTTTAAGCCACTTGCTAAATGCTTTATTGGACCATCAAGTAATAATGATAATGGGGATATTAACCTCATCGTATTACCCTGGTGTAATCAAAAAGGAAAGCAGTCCCACTGTCTCTTTATAGGACCTGATTACTAACCTATTTCATAATTTTAAAATAAACTTTCTTAAAGGATTTCCTTATTGAATTATTAAGTGATTTATTTTTGCCTCTATAACTAATGACTTTAAACATTCAACCTGATGTTCTAGAAATTTAAAATAATAAAATGGTATTTCACTATATTTTCTAAACTCTGGCTCTTCATTCAAATATCTGTTTGCAAAGTCCACAAATCTTTTTGAAGGAAAGGCATTCTGATGATAACTGTCAACCAAGTTCCCCAAAAGTTGTAGCAGCTCATTTTACAGATTTAACCAACAAAATGCTCTCCCCAGAACACTGTCGTCGATATTAAGTTCTTTTAATTAGTTTTAGGAATAAACTTTTTTCAAACAGTCTTACACTAAAACTTACTTGATTTTTTTAATTAAAAATGAGATCATATCCAAGAAAAGTCACAATTAAATCAACAGTCTCACTAATATTTCCAAATTAACACTCAACGTGTGTAGCTTGACTTTACATTAGTATCGAGTATTAATTTGAGCGAATTGAGATTAATTTAGCATCACACATAAAGAGCTACTTGATTCTATTAAAGGAAACTGGGTGCTTGTGTGCTGGTACCTGTCGAGACCGAATTTCAGCTTGTGCCAGCGTGTTAATGGAAGGAATGTTGCTGCCATCAAATGTGCTTCTTCTGGTGCTTATTCTATCACGCTCATTTTGAACAGCTGAAGGGGAAACCACAGCGTTTACTGGTTAGATCTCTTCAATAGACAGCACGATATACAGTTTGAAGATTTAAAAAAAGTTACAAAATGTGAGCAATGACCTAAAAGATTTGGGTGATAGGAAGTTAGGAGGAAGATCTTTTCATCCCGTATTTTCAAAAGTAGGAAAAGCCAGGCTTGGCAACAGAGCTCAGTAGAGATTCGTGTTTGGGACTTCACGATGACATACACAGGACAAAGCGTTGGGGCAGCCAGTTGTGCCAGTTGTATTTTCACTAGCTTGGCTTTTCATTCCTTCCAAGATAATAACACTGTATGACAACTAGAGGAAGACCTCTGCCTATGAGATGGATCAGGTCGAAAATAACAGTGCCTTTACTGTCAGAAAATATGAGTCATAGATTTTAAAAGTCCATTTTCTTTTTCCTGTAAAACACTACCAAATGGAAAGTAATTTTTTGTATTTAAAATAGCTTTAAGATTGCAATCTCATAATCACCAATAAAACATTGTCCTTAAGAAAGTTTATAGACATTAATAAAAAATGTTGTACCAGTCGGAGTTATCTCCTGAAGAGACCAAAGTTTGAGTATCCACTGTTCAGTAAGAGGAAGAAGGACTGTATTATATGAAAGATCTCCAGGAGAGCTAGATCTCGTTCCCTGCCTCAGAAAGGGAAGAAAAAATCATGCGTTTCTTCAAATAGTTTATTGATAATTACATTTTCAAATAAACAGAAGCGTGAGAAGGAAGCTGTAATATATATGAGCTAGCTCTCATTCCTTACATCAGAAAGGGAAGAAAAAAACATGCATTTCTCCAAATAGCTTATTGATAATTACATTTTTAAATAGAAGAGTGAGAAGGAAGCTGTAACATATATTTGTGTAAATATAAAGAATAATAAAGATCAGATGTCAAAGCTAAATTTCCAAACTGGGGATATATATGATTATTTTCTATGAACCAAAGAGAAGAAAATCAAGGCCTGTAGCCTTTCAATTATTTAGGTTAATGCTCTGGTCTGCTCTACTGGGAAACCACAGCATGAAGCTCTCCATTCCTTTTCTGTAATTATTCTTTTATTAAAGAAATGCACCAAATTGCATGCTACAGGCATGTAAAAGAGACCTGAAAATTTCAATGAAGGATCAACTTCAGTAAGTTTGAGGAGAAAGTACTGGTCTGTTTGCGTTTAAGAAAGAGTAAATAGTCTTTAAGACTGAGTGAATCATTAATATTTTATTTCAAAATCACACTTACTGGTGGCTTTTCTCTAAACATAAATTGTTTTTGATTTTCAACCTAAACTGACTCACTTGGAAATGCATACACAGAGATAAAAAGTAAGGTGTTTGCTATGATTTTATAAATTCCATTACATAATCAGTCTTTAGAAAAATACTAAGATATTGGGCATATAGATATTATTTTCACTGCTTTCAGTTTTGACATAAGTCGTGTTCATATATTTCGTTTTAACCAATTTCTAAACTATGCTATTACTGTGAAGAAGAGAACCGCTGGGCATGGTCAAGCACCCCTACAATCTCAGCACTCGAGACATCCAAGCAGCGGATTGCCATGAGTTTGAGTTTAAGGTCAGCCTGAACTACTAAAGGAGACCTTGTCTCAAAAAAAAAAAAAAAGAGAAATATATCAACTTTGAAACTCAAAATTTGCTTTGTAACCTACTTTACCAAGTTACCGTACAGTTTCATAAACAGTTGAAGAAAAATTTCCTCTATTTTCAGAAACACTATTTTATCACTGTAATATTCAGAAAAGAATTACAAGATTGTGATATTTTTATATGCTTGTGGGGAAAACTGTTGAGGTTAAAGCAGAAGTGGCTAAAGACAACTGACAAAGTCTATTAATCTTATAAGTACCCAACAGAGCTTTAGCACACTAAAAATGGCATTTCTGAAATACACTGTTGCTGCTTCAGTTTTGTGAACATAATTTTTTGTTGTCCTCTTTACAGCCTGGCAATCTGAGAAAGCTAATGGAATTTTTATAATTTTAATACAAAGAAAGACAAAGAAAAACACCATATATGTTCAAGACAGATTTGATACACTTTATACTTCTGTAGTGCAGTGATTTAATTTTTAAAATTTGAGACACAGGGGCTGGGGATTTAGCTCAGCGGCAAAAGCGCCTGCCTGGCAAGCGCAAGGTCGTGAGTTCGGTTCCCGGTACCGGAGAAAAAACAAAAAAAAACAAACAAACAAATAAAATTTGAGACACAGTTATGAAAGATCTCTTTGCATATGACAGACCCAGGGATGTAGCAAAACTGATAGGCATAAAACCTTGCAGCTCTTGCACCTGCCAAATGTGTAGAATGTGTTGAATACTTCTGTGTCTAAGCTAACTGCATTTAGAACATTAAAGAACATAAGCAGATTGTTTAAGGCATTCAAAATGATATTAATATATGCTGAAATTATACATCCAACCTACTGTCTGTGTCTCTGGATAAACTCCAGAGAAGATAAACTCCCTGGGGGTGGAAATTGTTCCTATTGTGTCCAGTACTGAAGCCTCAGTTATTCGGGAGGCTCCTCTAGTATTGGAGCAGTGTTTACGAAACAGGAGTATTTAATAAATACTTGTTAAGTGGATAAATGCATTAAAAATAAATGTTTCATGTTCATAAAATGAATAAATATACTTAATTGTTCTGAGAATAAAAATGTGTCTAAAATGCAGTTACAATTTCCATCTATTGACAGACCTCACCATTTATCTTTTGAACTAGATACTAAAATGTTATATGTAAAAGTAATTTTGTTGCCCACGATAGCATCACGGTGAAAAGAATGGTATCAGTACCCAGAGAGCATAGCTGGATACCCTTGGGCTAAATTCTTTAACTCAAGAAATTTGTTAGCAGGTTCCACACACATGGAGGAAAAGGAAAATTCATGCAAAAGTTAATTGTGATTAATGAGAATGTGTATGCTTAGCATTTTTCATCAATCTTGGTAATTATCATCATCATCATTACCTTCTTTTTTCATTCCTGCTCTAAAACATTTTCTTAATCGACAGTATCTGCATTGATTCCTTTTGTCCTTGTCAACAACACATTGGCGACTGAATCTGTAACATCAAATACAGACATGTTAGTTTACAGAAAGCTATGATTTATCAAGATGGAGAAAACAAACAAACAAATGAGTCTAAGATAGTCAAATTCGGCTTAATGGAAAGAATGCCTAAGCGCAACTGACTAAGAATTTTTACTCTTAAGATCAGTGTGTACATTCAAACGCAAACCTCACCTCTCCCCTAGGCTTTATAAAAAGTAAAACTGAATGACTAGTACATTGTTTTGGTCAGTATAGATTATAGCGCCTATCATGAATCATGAAAGTCAAACCTAGTTTTAAAATCTTTGGCATATAAATTCTAGTTGCTTATTGCTAAATGATCTCAGTGTGTTGTAGAATATAGTAAAACTTCAGTTCCCTGTACTTGCAAGCTATTTTTCTTTTTATGTATTATTCTATCCATTTAAGTGACCTCACATCCAGCTGAAACTTACTCTAGATACCAGATTATAAGAACAACACTAAGCATGTAATTTCTACATAATGACACACCATTTCACATGCATCACAATGGCTATAAATTGGGAAAAAAATTATAAGTGTTAATGAAGAGGTGGATAAAGGAATCCTCATACACTGCTGGTCAGAACAGTAAGTGATACTTTTGCTTTGGGCTGAAGTTTGGGTGTTTCTCAAAAGTGAGAACCACTGTATGACTCAGTAATTCCATGCCTGGTGTATACCCAAAGAAATAAAAGCATATGTCTATAGCAATATTACCATAAGAGTCAAAACAACAAAGCAATGAACAAATAAAATGTGGTAAGCCTGCAGAAGGGAGTGTGACTGTTTATCAATAAATGGGAAAGAAGTACTGATCCACAGCCTGTATGAACCTTTGGAAATACTTCTGTTCTAGATAAAGAGGGCCAGACTCAAAAATCCACATGTTGTAGGACTTCATTTACGTGCAACGCCCTTGAGAGGCAAATCTACGGGACTCTAAAGTAGATGGCAGTTGCCTCCCATTGCTGAAGGGAGTTGGAACTGGCGGGTGACTGCCACAGGTTTTCCTGGGGGGTGAAGCGCTTGTACCAAACTGATTGCAGGGGTGACTGCACCACTCTAGGTGGGCTAGAAAACCGAACTGTACATCCAAAATATCACAGTCTGTGGAATTAGATTTCAATCGATCCTCAGGTTAACCATTCACTCTTGGTACAACCTGAGGATGTCAATACCAGCCTATAATTTCAAAATACAGAAGTCTTCTTCTAAAACATTTTAGTGCACATGTACTACAACATTTGGGGCACATATTAATCATATTCTAAATATAACATTTACTTAAAATTCTTACTCGTATGTATTTATATATCCTGGATGTTTTAGTTGATTATTAAATAATGAGAATGAAACAATGTATTCGGCGAGCTACTGAGATTTCCTTCTCTGGGCGCTGTGGAACATGCCTCTAATCTCAGTTATTTGGGAGGCTGAGAAAGGAAAATCTCGAGTGTGAGGTCATCCTAGAAAATGTATTGAGACCCGACCTTTAAAAAAAATCTGAAAGGCTGAAGATGTAGCTCAGCGCAGTAGTCCTGGGTTCAGTCCCCAGTATCACAAAAAATGATAACAAATAAATAAGATCTTTAAACTGAACAACTACTGAAAAATGCCTGAGGAATGAAGCATACTTCAGAAGAGTTGAGTTAAAAGAGAAAGATGCTTTCAGAGTGAGGAAAAAACAGCACTGCTCATTTTGAATGTGTGACTGAGATTCAGGAGAAGGGATGAGATTACACGTATCACAAACAACGTCTAACCAATTAACATTACAGTTACAGCAAAGCTTGAATAAGCATTATATCAAGTGTGGACAAGACGCTGGTGTAGGGAATGAAGAGTTCAATGTTGCCTGTTTCTTCCATTTGAGAACATTATAATAAGCACTCAAGCAAGTTTACAAATAGCCATTATCAAAAGCTTTGTGTACAAGGTACTGCAACAAGTTAAAGTGTTTTAGGGTGAAAACCCCAGCGTCAGTGGGATGGAATCCTTAAAATGAAACTGAATCTACGAATATAAAGAAACTGATAAAATTAAAGACAACAGAACTTGAGTTTAAAATAAATATTATTCCTTTCAATGTGCACCAGTGTTATTACTACTATCCAAAGAAAAGAATCATAGTATTTGCTTCCTACCAAAACATGTAAAGAAGGATTAGGTTAATAGCACCGTGTGTGATAGGAAAGGGAGAGAAGGTGAACTATACAAGTTGCTGGAATGTTTGTTAAATTTACGGAGGCTGCTCTGGAAGCCGCTGTTTCTGACTCTCCCCACACACGATGCGTGAAAATGTAGAGTCCCTGCACTGTTGCTCTCAGCTTCCTCCAGGCTGTGGTGATCAGTTGTTTGACTGAATGTACATTTCACTTTTAGGAGAGTACATGACTTCACAAAATGCTGGTTTATGTTTATTGTAGTTGTTAATTTCTAAGAACGCTGAATATGTTAGGCAATCTTAGGAAAATATTTTGATGGGAGAAAATTACGTGTCTATATTGCAGAATTTTTGTATAAAATCCAAAACTCATATAAATATTATTTCTTTATTAAATTTTTAATAGTTCTAGTTCTTTAAACCTGCATCAAATTCTCCTGGAAAGATTACTTGCAAACACTAGGTAGATTTAGGGAAGTTATGTATTAACTTTTATTTCAGCCCAAGGAATCAAATGGCACCACGAGTTAAGAGAACTTTTTCTAAACTGTCCAATTAGTTCTTAAAATTATGTACAAATGCTGAGATGCTTGTCTTTGACAGAGCAAATGCAGACTCTTGTGTTGTGTTCAAAGCCATCGCATTTGCCCACAGCTTCTATTCAACCAACATGTAATCTGTATCTGAAAACTGTCATACCAGTCAGGGTACACCTAAGCTGACCTACGCTGCTGATTAAAAATTTCTTTAAAAGACTTCCAGAGATAGGTAACACATAAAATATAAATAAAGACCTTTAGACAAAGCACTGAAAGTCAATGGTCAAAAAATATAGGGTGAGAAATGAATTATAAAATTTAGAACTAAGAATTGAGTTTCATTTATTGAAAATAGCAAGCCACAAGTCATCTTCCTTGCTTCTACAATTTTGTTTTAAAAGATTCATGATTGAGTGACGGTAAAAAGAAAATCAATGTTCAGAAAAAGCACACATTGAGAAATCATTTAAATGTAGATTTTAAAATGTTTAGTGCTATATGAACATGTGGTAAAACAATAAAGAGATAGTAGGAAAATATCACACCAAAATGCATACAGTTGTTTCTCTAGAGAGACTGGGAACACCGAGTGGCTGGGGAGGTGTCCCCTGGAGGATTCAACTATATTGGTCTAAGCTGGGTGGTAGAGATGTGAAATTCTTATATAATTTTTATAAGTTTAGGACGTTTCATAAAAAGGAACCACCTCACACACACACATCCACACGTCTTCGCTTTTACTGCAGCTTAAAGACTGTTCACAGAGGTACGGGTCAAAGAGAGTTCTAAATTTTCCTCCTTTACTTCTTGCATCCTATTTTCAAACTTCTCTAAAGATTAACGTTCCCCAAAGGAGCCTCTCACGAACCTGCAGGAGTACACGTGACTCTTACGTATGCTGCGCCTGAAGAAGCCTTTGCACCCGTCGCAGCTCGACGCCCCGTAGTGCTTCCCAGTCGCTCGGTCGCCACAAATTGCACACAGACAGCTGACACCACTGTCCGCGGTGTTCATACTTGTTGTCTCGGGGGCAGAATTATCTGTTAAAGAATACGGTTAGAGTTAGTACTGTTTCTCTTGTTTAAATTAAATTGCTCTATTCATCATTCATAGTCCTGAAACAGTCCAATCCCTGGCTTCTTGGCAGACTCCACTAAAGTACTCTCCTTTGGAACTGTGGCTGCTTCCATTCTACCCATGAAATTTGGGGACACTGTGTGGCTCAGTCCTCCAGCTTTAGTTCCAAGGGAGGCGCATGCTGTGTCAGAGTACTAAACATCGCCTGTATGATGGAAGAACCCTGGAAGTCTGTTTCTGCCCTGCTATCTCCTCTGGGCATGCGCCTGAAAAGCTTCAGTACTTTCAATAGTCTCATTTGGGCCAGGCCTGACGGCAGACACCTGCCTGTAATCCATCCCAGCGTTCTTCCAGGCTTGGGCTGGGAGAGCACAAGGTGTAATCCTACCTGTGGAACTTGGCTAGATCCTGTGTCAATAAAAGAAACAGAGAGAGACAGAGAGAGAGAGAGACAGAGACAGACAGGGACAGAGAGAGACAGAAAGAGAGAGAGAGAGAGACAGAGAGGGAGGGATGAAAGAAGAGAAAAATAAAAAAAAGAAGAAGAAGAAAAGGCTGGGACGCACCTCAGTGTAAAAACCCTGGTTCAGTCCCTGGGATGGCAAATAAACCTCACAAAAGCTTCACTTGGAAATCAAGAATCACAAGTCAATATATCAAAGCCAGAACTCTGATTTTTCCTGCAGGGTTTATTTTTCCTCCAGTCTCCACTGTCCAGCGAAGGGCCTCACCTATCCCTAGAACCAGGAACTTGCGAGTGCTCCCTCAGTCCGCTCCCTCAGCGCTCAGGTAACCCGCTGGGAACCGCATCTCACAGCGCACTTCATCTACACCTGCTCCCGCTTTCTCCGGGAGGGCGGTTACCCAGCCCACCGCCGCTCTTTCCCTGCACAACGGCCACCAGGTCCTCTCTAATTTTCCTGCTTTCACCTTTGCTCCCCTACTATATATTTATTGCCGTAGAAGCGCAGAAGTGATCTTGATGGAAGAAATTCATAGCTTGTTACCCTCCTCACTCAACTCCTCACTCTGACTCGTCCCTAGATACAGCAGAAAGCAAATAAGAAAGGGAGACCTGTAAATCTCTGCCCTCCACACACCACCGCTCTCCTGTCTGGTGCCACTCCCCTTCCGCCCTGTGCTCTCCTCTCCAGCGTGTTCCTTTCTCTGGTTTTTCTGTTTGTTTTTTTGTTTCTTGTTCAACCGTTCTCATCTTGGCACTTTTACCACTGTCTGGAAGGAAAACTGGTTTTTTTAATTTGGTTTTTCTCCGGTACTGGGAACCGAACTCACAACCTTGCGCTTGCCAGGCAGGCGCTGTGCCGCTGAGCTAAATCTCCAGCCCCTGGAAGGAAAATTTTTCTTCCAGACTTTTTGAGGTAGCTATCAGGTTCTGTTCAAAACTTGCAATTTGTGTGAAACCCTTTCCAAGCACACATCTTGTCAACTCGTGTCTGCCCTTCAGGAAGAACCTAGGGCTTGGCTTAGTGATTCCTTAATGACAATGACATTGCCTAAAATTATATATATATTACATATATAATATATACAATACATATAATAAATGAGGAAAGATATATATTTACCTACCCATCTTTACACATATACATTATGAACTTCACAATGTCTGAGGATTTATGTCATGTTTCTCCCCCCCTTTCCAGCTCTTAGGATTATGCCTAGCACATAGTATCTAAGGTATAGTTAGGAAGGGAGGTCCATTAAACATTACATATGTGGGGCGGGGGGCTCAGGGGTGGAGCATTTGTCTAGCATGTACCAAGGCCTGGCTTCAAATCCTCAATTTGAGTGTATATTTAGTTCTTCAAAAACTTAATATTGTTGACAGGATCTTTAAAAATCTATAAAGTAGCAGATTAAAATTTTAATCCCTATAAATTATATAATAATATGGATAACTTATTATATCTCTACTATAACAAGAGAATGAAATTAAAGGTTTTCATATCTCCAACTTATTCTGTGATTTTATATATATTCTTATTACTAATATCTCTCAGTAGATATATACTGTCACATATAACTCAGAAATATAAAGTAGGAAAAAATTTTTGTTTTGTTTTTGCTTTTTGAGACCAGTCTCACTAGCAGACCAGCCTGGCCTTGAATCCACTATAGAGCCCAGGTTTACCTCAGACTGATGATGATCCTCCTGCTTCAACCTCCTGAGTGCTGGGATTATAGGCGTATACTACAATGCCCAGTTTTTTGTTTGTTTGTTTGTTTTTTGTTTTTTGTTTTTGTTTTTCTCCGGTACCGGAACCGAACTCACGACCTTGCGCTTGCCAGGCAGGCGCTTTTGCCGCTGAGCTAAATCCCCAGCCCCTACAATGCCCAGTTTAAAGTAGGAAAAATTTCAGTGCAATGGTGTTTAAGGTTAATCATGTAACATTATAGAATTAAAATGCTAAGAATTTTTTATTTGGTAACAGTTGCAAAATAGATATTAGCAATCAGAAATATTCAGCATAGAGTGTTTTCTGGGATATTATAAGGAAATATTGAAAATAGTTAATATGTTAAAACAAGTAAAATGATAAGTAGCCCTACAAGGTACTTCTTTTTATATATAGTGGTAAATATTTATGGTAAATCTGTCCTACCATTTAGGAATCTAGAGCTTCTGAAGTCATGATTCTATTGAGATAAATATTAAATATTGCTAATCAAATAGCAATTTCCTAAGAGTTTTACTACAGGTTCATTTTATTCTACTTATGTTTAGATTTGAGAACAAGTTTTTAAAATTTCAATTTAAAATTTCAAAAATTATAAGTTTTGGACGATTTTTTAAAATTTCACTAACAAGGTGTTACTTACTGAAAGTAAAAACAAAGCATCAGTCAGACTAATTGTACAGTACAGTAGAATAGTACTACAGTAGAATATTAAGATCTTCCTACCGTAAGAGGCTCTTTAAATCTGAAACTATGTATTCACACACAGACACACATACACATTTTCCCAAAGTATATGTTATTTTGAAATGTCACAATTTCTGACTGTTAAATCTTATCTTCAATGAGACTTTTACTTGAAGAAAACAACTAAATTCAAAGTAACAGCACACTGAATTACAGAAAGAAAGGATCCCTAAACAATTCATGTCTTATTTAAAGTTAAAATGTTACAGCAGATAAATACCAAGAGCTTTGCGTAGCTAAACATTAGCTTGTCAAGTGAGATTGTAATATAAACCCTTATTTCTTTTCATATTTGTGTTCAATGCAAAAACCTGACAGTCATTTTAAAAGCGATTTCTCATCAGCAGCAATTGAGAACTAGAATACTGGATGGAGGCAGACTGTACAACGCTAGTGTTCTACAGAAACTTTGTCCCATCATTCATTTTAAATACTGCATAGAAAATACACTTTCACAGCCGATCTGCCAATGTTATTTATTACTATGATTTACAGCAAATAAAATAACTGCTGAAACTACTCTTTTTAGCTCTTAACAGGCCCATGCCAGAATTCTGAGGTTACTTTATTACACAAAACTAGGCTATTCTATCTGTAACATGAAATAGCCATAGGATTATTAATTGAAATTCTGTGATGAAGTAAAAAAAGCTCAGATTTGTGGCCTTAAAAATGCAGGCCTTTCCTTTTCCGGCAGTAAATGACCGAGCCACCGCCCCAGAACGCTGTTTTACTCTCCCAGTATATGTACTTAGCCTTGTTTTATATTTTATAAGCAGATGAGAACTCACCATTTGAATTATATAAAATCTGCATAGTTTCAAACTCCAAACTCGTGTAAGTGGGGTCCAAAACTTCACTGTAATTGCCCATGTCCATGTCCAGGATCGGCTCCGACACCCTCATCCTCGACTGAGGGACACACATGCAGGGGCAGCAGGAGCCCAGCGCGTGATGACTGCTTTGCTCTCAATCTGCGAGTGGTAATCCAGATGTAACTGTAACTGAGTGGCTTAAGTGCTGAAGGGGGCGGGGCTGTAAAACTGTAACCTCCTTCGCAGGCCATATTCTGCTTATTTCTTATTTTATGACCCGGAGAGCAATTCCTTGGGATAATCTTGGAATGCTTCATGGAATTACCTTATCTGAAGTGCTTAGTAGACTAACGTGGTTCCCCACATTGATTTCTAAGAGACAATAAATGCTATCATTCAGAACAAGATAAACCTAGAAAAGAAAATCTCTCAGGCTGTAGGCGGTAATTACACTACGAGGTGGTCTGTTTAAGGTCTCAGAACTACACACCACATTTTCTGAAAGATGGAGCTTACTTTTCTGTTATAAATTTGTCTAGACTCTAAATTGACAGCCTGTCACAAATTTTCTTGCATGTGTAATAAAACTGCATTTTGAAGTAAATCTGTATTTTGTAGTGACAAGTATTTATGATATATTTCAGGAGCATCCTGGCAGAAACCTAATAAAACCTTTAAAATAATCTCCTTTACTCTTGCTAAATGGGGCTGTGTCTTTTCTATTTCTTGTGAGCTTCCCACGAGCACGGCCAATAGAGTTGTAACTATTCAATTAACACTTACTACATGAATAAGGTTTCATGCCTTTTGACATTGTTTATTACATTCTAGGCATTAACTGAACCCTATCCAACATGTGCTGATTTATACATTCCTTCATTTGTGCAACACAATATGAATTTTAAGTGTATACATGACAAGGAGCATTTAGAGTTCTGGAGAATATTTAGGTGAAAATAATGAATGAGTCTTTAAAAACAATTTCATTAATTTTTCTTTTACAAGAAAAAAAATAGTACCCTATTTACATTATACATGGAGAGTTTTATTTTTCATATTTGTTAAAGTTTATAAAAAGTTAATCAGTTTCTTAATGCCATAAACCTTGTGGATACTCTATTTTAGTTAGTACAGCACTTTTCCTCTGGAAAGGCTGGTCCCTGAAGATGAACTTAAAATCATAGGAAGAACTGGGAGAAAAGGAGCAGCGTCACATCAGTACTCAAATTCACTCAATCCATGATCACCGAAGTCACCCTCTTGCCTTCAGATTCCGTATATTCCTGCTAGTAACACGATTACATTAATAATATATTTGAGTGAATTTTAGAAACTGTTTTTTTTAAATGAAGACTAAATGTACCTGTTCAATTTTTGTAGAAGTGGTAGCAAACAAATCCTGTAGCTTTCACTGGCCTGGAGTGGATCTCATGTGTGTCAAAGTAACTAAGGGGTATTTCTGGTAAGAAGCGCAAGAGAGAATCGTGCAGAGCACACAGTCTTTCTCACCAGTGTGCTATCTAACCAACAGTGAGGGCTGTCACCACTGACAGTGTCCAAAAAACGGGGAAAAGGAAAGAAAAAGGCAGGGAAACTTTTGTTTATATGCCCGCAAACACTGAATTCAGTGTGGACAGAGCTCAGGAGAATAATGACGCAGTCCTGTTGTCCGACCCCATCCTATTTTCACGGTGCACATGACTGTCAGACCAAAGCATCTGGATCTAAGGGGGAGGGGCTGCAAAGTCCTCTCAGCGCGGATGTTCAAGTAGCCTCTCACATCTAATCAGGGCTGGCCCTCAACACGAACTTTTTTCCCATCCACATTACTCCAAATTATCTTTTTCATTGAATAGAAACTTGAGAATTATCAGGGCACCGTCAAAATGGCAAGCGTATCTTCTCAAGTGCATCCATTGGGTTCTTAATGACTGACAACTCCAATGTCAAAACGGAGAATTCAGTCAGCCTCGATCTCGCACAGAAACGATTCTTTTCACTCTTTTCTCCAAGATTATAAAGTGTAGTCAAATGTCTCCTTTTTTAAAATCCGTGAGTGATAACTGACTGATAAAATATTTTTTAAAAATCATAAAATGATTTATTCATGCTTAATAGTTTATGAGAATTAAGTAGATAGAACTGCTGATGTTTTGTGGTAGAACCAAAACTTTTTTTTCAGTAACAGTTCATTGATTACAATATTTTTATTTTTTTCAAAAGTCTCATGCACTGCCTTTAAAGTCTAGTATATTTTTAAAGACAGAAAATAATCAAAGCTATCTATAAATTAACCTGAATGCAGAAGCTGTATAGAATTATATAGTTTTTAAAAAATATTTCATACATTGATTCAACTCACATTTATTAAATTCCTCAGTATTTCCTTGGTGTTACAGGGGTGAAGTAAAGATCTTCTAATACGTACTCTGCAGTAGATCATACCACACTTAACTATATTATGAAATGAAATCACAAATAGCAGTGACATCCTAGTAACACATACAACTGACACCTGAGGAGGGTACGAATTAGTCAGACGCACCTGCCCCAGAAGATAATGAGGATATTCTGCAAAAGAAGTTGAGAAACTGATTTAATGCTGGGAAATAACCAAATGGACAACAAAGTTTCTCTTAGATTGACTTTAACTTGAGATAACTTGCATTTATAACTTAACATATTCTACTCTGTGACCAATTCTAATTCTCTACTTCTAAGGGCAATTAGGGGCACTGGGGATTTAGCTCAGTGGCACAGCACGTGCCTGGCAAGCTCAAGGTCATGAGTTTGATTCCTGGTACTGGAAAAACAAACAAACAAACAAAAAAAGGCAATTAGGCTACATCCAGAATGTTTTTATTTGTCTAAAGAAAAACAGAGGAAAAGGAAAAAGAAAGACAGAGGGAGAAAAAGAGGAGGAACATTTCAGAGAGAGACAATTTTACTCCTGGCTCATTTTGAATGTTTGGCTTCACATCCCATGGACAGCAAGTACCACACCCTGGTGTTCCTTGCATTTGCTACTCAGTAGTGCTTGCAGAGTTCTCAAAAGTCAGAAATTACATCCAAGGCACAATGTGATAAAGTAAAGCTCTAAAATTAAATGGCATACATTTTAGATACACGCATGAAACATATATGCTATGTTTATATTTTTTCACTTTAAAATTGAGTTATTTTCAGGAAAGAGGCAGATGGACATCAAGCAGGCAGTCTGTGCCCTGATAATTCTCAAGTTCCTATTAATGAATAAGATAATTATTACATCATTGCATAATTCCTGTGAACAGGTTCATAGGGCTCCCTTAAAGTTTAAACAATTAAAAGAAAAATTATACTAATTCTATTCCTAAGTGATAATAAAAGCAATAATCCTTAAAAAGATAAGGCTTACATGTTACTTAGCTGTAAATTTAACATCAATTTCAAAGCACTTTCATGTCTACTTATAAAAGTTTAATCAGGAAAAACTTCATATATACACGCTAATATACACAACAGTAACCTATAATAATGAGAACATATTTTCTAAAGCAGTGTGTATAAACTTAATCTGTATCTAAAAGTATATATAAATGATAAACTATGGTCTATGGAAGATGTCTCCTAACAGAGGCTGTTCTGTGCATCTATTCTCTCAGCTGAATAAAAGTATCCCTGTTACTTAGTCTGATCTCACATTTCGCAAGTAAAGGTATAACACCTTTGTCCTGGTCAGGTCAAACACCATAGAGGAATTGACATTTGTTGTGCATAAAAGGTCAACTTTAAAAAGCACAAAATATGACACTGAAAAACACTTTTCTCAGGGCACTATTCTTATAAACTATATGAAATATATTATTTTAATTTCATTAGAGAAATGTAAGAAGAAAGGAAAATAACATAGTTTTGAAATCAGCTAACAACTCAATCCACCATTGACTATTTAAGTAATAGCAGAAACATTTCTATCTTATCTGTAAGACTATTACGCCTGTTAAATTGTTCTATACTTTACATTTGATTTAATCATTCCTTCATAGCGTGATTTTAAATAGAAAACAAGCTAATAAAATCAAGGTTATTTGCATAAGAGAATTTTCATGAACGCAACTTGGAACAGTAACACAGCATGAAAACATTTTTTATATTAAAGTATAGTTAATAAAAATTTTTCTCTAAATGTATTCCTTTGAGATTATTTTATATTATCAAAATTACTGCATGTTAACCCCAGAGCAATTCTTCAGTTGTTTCATATTCACTTTTCAAGTATGAAGAGCACATAAACATAATCAGTGAAACCTAGATTAAAAGTATCAATCTACATCAATCAAATATATTGTTCACTGTAAACAGAAAACCTTCAAGTAGGAAAGTCTCCCCAGAAAAATGGCTTTTTAATTCAAAGCAATTTCTCATTTGTTAGAAAAAAGCACTGTTATTTCTCGGTTGCTAATAGCCTCATTGATATGTGTTTTTTGAAATAAAACTTCTACTTTTTCTTTTTTTTTGTAATTTTGATGAGAAAAAAACAAATGAAAATAATTAAAACGAAGAAGCAAAAATCAGAATATTAATCTGCAAAGCGAGTGGCCCTCACTGACATACCAAGAAGTCTGAAAGTGCTTGCAAGGATGGGATGCAGTTTTCAAACATATCCAGAAATCTTTTCATAAAGTCCAGATCGCATAGAACTTTACATGGACAAAACCAAATTTCCTTTTCTTTTCCTTGTTCTTTGATCAGATAGCTTTATGCAATTCCCAGAAGGATTATATTAGCTCTTTAGGATATTTAGACAAAAGTCATTTCTGATACTAAAAAAGTCTATTTTCATTGTTGAAAATATCTATTTTAAACTGAATTTTTGTAACTTTACTTACATAGCTTATAATTTTCCTTAAATAATAATTATTCCATAGTTCATTTCTCAATTCACTGTTCTGCAATTCCTGATCCTTAGTCCAAGGAACAAACTTGAAATTCTTAATTTAGTTTTATATCTCGTCCACATCTTTTCCATGACTGATGAAATCAGTTTGCATTACTATTTTCATAATAGTGAAATTTAGACAAACTGGACAAAGATATATAAGTACCTTTTAAAATAGTTGAATTAGTTCTTCATAATAATTATGATTTACTTCCTCTATTTATATTTACGAGCTC